AAAGGGGGGGGGGGGCACGCCCGCTCCGTGCGTTAATGAATTCAGGGAAGGCAGACTGAATAAATTAGATCGGGAGGGTCCCCTGTGAGACGGTGTTGGGGTAGGCCTAGGCCTCGGCCTCGGCCGTCGGGCGGGCCGCAGCACCAGGCTGTTAGCTCAGCTGTGGGCCGACGGCTGTGTGTGCCCTGGCCTACTGGGCTAGATGAGGGCAGGAGAGGAAAGGTAAAAGATGACTCGATCACTTTCTCCAATCAACGGAAGTTTTTGTGAATTTAACGAAGTTTGTAAATAACGTTTTCGAATTTATCCTTGAATTATTTGTTTAGCCCGTGTGGCCTTGACCATGCAAATACTCCAATACTACCCATCTCCCCCCCCCCCTCCCTTTTCCTGTTCACTCCTTTAAAAAAACTGAATGGCTATACCTGGTCAAGGACAACCAACGAACATGTTTAAAAATACGAATTGTTTGGCCTGGTACAGCATTTTCACTTTTATTCCTAAACCTTTTTAATTATTTATTTCTTTTTCATTTATTTTTTTTTTTTTTTTTTTTTTTTTGCTTTTACTTTTACAAAAACTTCGTGCAGGAGAAAAATGAGAGGCGCATTATGTGATATGCAGACACGCTGGCGCGGTGTACGCTGAATAGGCATGTAAATGGCCCGGATGTAATGGCAAGGACGGGAGGAAAGGGTTGTGTGATGAGGATGCGCAAGCCTGATCAGGCGGGCCAGGATCTGATCAGGTCGTTGACTTTATATTCCGCGACCCCCACCCCTCTCCCAGCGCAGCAGAGCGCGCCTCTGACACTTTCATACGTGTTACCGGGCGAACCCACTTAAAGGCGCGGGGTCACGCGGTTCTGTTTACACGGGAGGGGGAAGGGGGGGGGTCTGCGAGGGATAAGAGGTTGTTGGGATTTCGCGCTTGCTGATTTATGGCCAAATAACCTTCATTTTTGCATTGCCAAAAAGGTGCCGCGGAAAAAAGCAGATGCGCTGCAACGGGAATGAAGGTGTGGCAGTGTCGCCGCGTTGCATGGATAGTGGCTGCGATTTTCTATATCGCGACAGAGAGAGAGAGAGAGAGAGAGGGGGGGGGGTAGGGTCGCATCAACCACAAAGCCGAGCTTGGGCGGTGCATATACTATTCTAAAGTAGCTTTTGCGGAGCGGAGAGAGTGGGAAGGGGGGGGGGGGTGAGGAGAGAGAGGGCAAGAGAATTTGAATTTGACTTTGAATTTGTTTATTTCATGGAGATGGAGCTGGAGAGAGAGAGAGAGAGTAGATGCGCAAGCACCCAAAGAATGATCGAAATAAATGTATCCTGCAAAAAGTTCGGAATGCGTGAGTCTTTGACGTCACGGGATGCATTGGATGGGTCAGGTAGAGGTTTCCGGCTCAGTCCCGGCCGCGGCCGCTCCCTCCTCCCCGCACGTCGCCCGCCACGCTCGGATCCGATCTGCACCCGAGCTGCGCTGCGCTCCGCAGGTGCGGCCGGGGGTCGGCAGGGTCAATAGTGCCAATAATGTTCTCCGACCGCAAACAAGTGAGAAAGGGGAGACTCGGGAAAGCACGATAATGCGGGAAATTACATGATAGGGAGAGGGCGAAAGGGATGGTCTCGACGCAACATCCGAGTTTGCCAATCTCTCGCCATTATTTGCGCAGAGCTTATCGAGGTACTCCACATCGCAAGCCGGATTGGCGAGTTTATTTTAAGTGCTTGCGAATGAGAGCAAAGGGAGTAGCAAATCGAAAAGACTGCTACAATTGTAGGTAATTGATTCTACGCTAGATAGATGTTTCTTATGCTTAAGAATGCCAGATCAACAGTCTCTCTGTCTGAAGATGTATGTTTGTGCCGAGGGGGAAACGACTGTTAAACTTTGTGTCAGCCGGATTACGGATTACCCGGATTACCTCCGGAGTGTCCTCCGGATTACGTTGCTTTTTCTCTAGGATTACCCCGGATTACCCCCAAAATTTTCCCGGATTACCCCCAAATTTCCCCGGATTACCACGGATTTTTTAGAATTTCTTCGGATTACCCCTACCGGATTACCTTTCGGCTGTCAGCCGGATTACCTTAGTCGTTTCCCCCTCGGTTTGTGCACACTGTAATTTTGTTTACAAGGAACTGGTCTTGTAACGTAGAAAGATTTGGGACCCTTGTATTACAATAGGCATTCTTTTAAGAACAACTTTTCATGCCAATGTGCTGTAAAATGCTGTACCAGCCGTTAGGGCGGCGACGTTGACAAATATAATATTTAATATTTTTCCTTTCATTGGCCTCTGCCGAGGCTGCTGCGCTATTCTCATCGTGTTACCTCTCAGTGGTCGTTTGGGGTCTTCTTCTCAGTCCGTGGGAGCGGGAGAGGCAGAGAGGCACCCCGAAAGGGTTGTCCTATCTCCCCAACCCCTTCCCCTTCTCTCCGGCCGATCGTCGACGTTCTATGCCGAGCCCATGCGAAGATGCGCCGATGCGGGGAGCCGGTCCCCGCCGGTTCTGGCTAGGTAGTATACGGTGAGGCGGTGTCGATTTCACGAGATGCGTATGCAAAAATCCCTTTCTTTTGTTCCCGGTAATCGCGCGGTGGCCGGGCCAGAGGCCGGGCCAGACAGCCGGTCCAGGGGAGAGTGGGCCGCGGTGGGTCGCGCATCGCGCAGCATCGGCCGCAGCATCCCGCGGCAGAGCCAAAAGAACCGCAGATAGACGAAGCAAGGAATTTTCGCGATGGGGACGCGGTTGCATTCGGTCAAACTGCAGGATGGGTGTATGAAGGTTGACATATTGATAACCCTTTGGTTAGCTTTGATTAATGATTTTTCTGTAAGGTCATTAATGGGCAATAATGATTCTGCGGGGCGTTCGCTAGTCGCTGATCGATGATGACTCCACCTTGCGATCATGATCCCACACGGCAGGCCAGCTCGGATTCCTTTTGAAACAGTAAACACCGTGCGGTGAAGAGGCATGCCCGCGCAGGGCCCGTGGCCGGCCGGCGGGACCCAAACGGCGACCGCCGAGCTTGTGTGTTTTTGCATGCGTCCCGCCCAGTGGCCCGTGAACAGCGCGAACTGCTTTCGACATGCCAAAAATTTATGGTGGTTGTGCGATGTTGCAACGCTGCAGCGCTGCAACCCTTCCGTTATGCATCGCAGGCACATGCAGACATGAGGGGAAAATGAGCCACTTTGGCTTCAAATATAATAAACGGGTATAAAACATGCTCTGCTGGTTAAGAAAAATGCGTTTTATTATTTGAATGTGTTGCGTAAAAAAAAACACACTCACCCCGTGTGACAGGGGGGCTGAAGATGCTCCTCGGCTCATATAGGGGATGCGCAGCCGGATAGGGGAAGGGTTGAGCTGGGAGGGAGGGGGGGGGGAGGGGAATCGGCGTAGGATTTGCAAGGGCTACCTGCGCGGACGCAGCCGGCAACAAGTTCACCTGAAGCGACTATACCTTGGGGCACATTATTTAACGTCAGAGTGAGACACTGAATCCCAAAAACTTGCACTTTTAAACACCCCTACAATCATCCATTAATCTAGATACGTTTCCAGTTTTGGGACTAAAAAGTGAAACGCATGTTAAAGGTTATGCATAGTTTTCAATAACACGCAACACTCCTAGACGATATCTCATCTACGTGCAGCTGTGTTATTCCTCTTCATAAAGGACGCGCAGGAAAGGAAAAGGGTTCACATCCGCTACGGGGTGGGTGCTCCAGTGGTCTAGGCGGGGCGGGAGAGGCACACGAGTCCGGCCCGGCAGCCAGCTGACTACGTGGTAATAGCACGTGTCTGGCCATCTGCATATGCTCACTTACCTATACTCTCTCGCGTGCACCTACCATGGCCACGAGCAGTAGGTGTAGTACGAGTAAGGGGAGAGAGAGAGAGAGAGAGAGAGAGAGAGAGAGAGAGAGGTGATATTCGTACGCTTAGATTTCCAGTGTCTGTTCGTAGCTTTCTGATTTCCAGAATACTTCACTTCATAGCACTGGATGAAACTTAATGAATTACTATCAGTACCAGCTCGTACCAGTTCCTATATACGTGGGGTGGGATAGGAGTCATGCTATACAGCATTGTCGAGAGACCTAAGCGTTAAGCGTTAACGTTAGAATAGCATAGCAACATAAATTATCACCCACTCTAGTTCGTTCATACTCTGCCTTTCAACAGCACTGCACTCCATAGGAATACATTCTCTTCCAGGATGACCGTACGAATGACTCAGCAATACTGCTCTTAAACAACATTCCAATAACTTCAAAGTTCCTTGTTTATTTTACGTGGGGGCTTGGGAGAACAGTGGTCGAAACTTGATGAGAGAAAGTGGGTCGGATCCAGGTCAGTAGAAAGAGTGAAGGCGTTTAAAACAATAGCAGCTGTGTGGATGAGAGGTGAGCGTGGATGTGACGGGGAGGCTGCATGGGCTGCATGAACCCTTTCCATCTTTTTGTTGAGGTGCGATGCCTATCTCTGGTGGCTCATTTTAATATTCCCTCTTCCTTGTTTTTCGTATTAAATTTTTTTTATAGGTCCGTCGGTACGTGACAAGAACGGTAGTGGAGGCATATGCTCCAGCATAATGTAAAAGT